TGTATTTAAAATATTATATAGTATTGTGATAGAAAATAATACTTCAAGTCCTTTGTAGTGTTAACAGGAACCATTTAAAATTGGAGAATAGGCGTCCATAAAATATTGTTACCAATATTGTATTAAAAAAAAATATATATTTGTATGATGGTTTAAATCTACTCAGCAGTAGTTTAGACACCTACCTAAGGTGTCGTAACATTCACGGTAAAATTGTTCCAGGCCGCTACTTACAAATTATTTTTTGCGAAACCCAAAATTTGAACTCAGATTTTTCCAAACGACGTACAACTTTAAAGAGCTTTTTTTGGAAACCATATAATGTTTTAAAAAGATTTTTTCGACATTTGAAAAATGTTACACGCCAATATGAATCTCGAAAGTTGGAGTCAACTACACACAATTTTGAGTATGCAAGCATGTATATATCATATTTTTGCTTTCAATTAAAACCTATCCTAATTTTTAGAAGTATTCAATGTTACAGCCTATACAATTATACTGGATCAACTATAGCAGTGCCACTTTCAACTGAGTCTTCAATACAGCTGGTCAGTACTACTGTCAGCTAAAACAATTTCTTAAAAGTATGGGATAGCAATTAACGTTGGATTTAGGAAAGCTTGGAACATTTGAGCATTCAATATTCGATAGTTTTTTTTTAACAACTCTGTTACTTCAACAATCTTTAAGTATTTGGCCAAAAATTAAAGGTTCTTGCAGTATTCATAATTTATATAGTAACAGAACCACCAACTTACAATACAAGAATTTTTACGACAGTTCGTCAGGGAAGTCAAAGTTGTATATTTTTCGATGAACTAACTTCTTCCATTCATAGTAAAAGCGAAAAAACAGCTGCAGCAAAGTAGAGAATCATAGTATCATTTAAATGGTACATACGTACGATAGTTATAAAATGGTTACAGCTGTGATTCTGAAGGCATGATAACAGAGGCTCTAGTAGCGCAGCGCGACCTTGGGCCTAGTAGGGCACGTCGAGCTGGATCGAGCATAGGCATAGGGTTGGGTAAGAGGTAAGTAAACTCGTTGGTTTATTCCGTAGTGCAACGTGCCTACAAAAGCATAACTTAAAAAAAAAAAAGATTGATTTTGAACTTCTTGAGGAAATTAAAAAAATTTTTCAAAAGAAGTCTTCCAGAACTTATGAGCAACGATAGCAGGGACTCTCATACTGGATCTCTCGCAAGTAATTTTCAGCTCCTTCAATTGGAAAGGGTAATGACTACGCTAAACTGTAAGTACCCTTGTGAGCTTCATGCAAACTCATACAACCACAGAATATTATGTATGATTTGACTTTACATATTTATTTTTTTTTTCCGACAACTTTATTGAAGCTTCATTGTTACCCCTAATTTATAATATAAGTATTAATAATTTTCGTATTAGTTACTATCTTTACTACTATCACAATTGTCTACGCTTCAGTGTAATAAAATAAATTTTTTGCTGCAAACACAAAATTCCAAGCGTGTATTAAAAAAATTAGAAACTTAAGTACCTTAGTTATAAAGTTAACTTGCTTTAGGCTTGACTAGGAATTATCTATATACAAGCAATGACTTTAGGTTACTTTTTAGATTAGGTACGTGATTTACTATGATGTACGTTTTGAACAACATCAATTAAGCATAATGTTTTTTTGAGTCCGTCACAATTAATCGTTCCATAAGCTTAAATATAAAATTGGTTTAGATTAGCAGATATAATTCAAATAATAAAAAGCTGTGCTAAAGAGGAAGCACAATCATATAGTTACCCTCAAACATTTTTACAACAGAGGAGCTGCGTTGACTTGATGATGAGCATGATAATCACAGAAACAACATTACTATAGGAGATAAAGGTTTGATTCCCTATGACACAAATTCAGTTTTTTGTAAACGACATTTCACCACACTGATTAATACTGATTAGCTATGAACTGTTCCAAATGATTTAACGTTTAATCACGGTATGCGGGAAGCGTTTATATGTAAGCAATACAGGCAACTTGTGTAAGTTAGATGTATGTATGGTAATTCAACATTTGCATTTGAAAATTCATTTCAGACATGTAGAGTTATGGCAAATATTTAATTATATAAACTCAAAAAAGTACACTTTACAAGTAAGTATTACGTCAAAAAACTGTCGGGAGCACTGGGCCACTGGCCTAAGCAATAGGACTACCACAATGATAGCAATTTTCATTACTACGTCAGGAGAGCTGTCCCTTGATATTTTAGAGCAACTGCTCGCATATGCCAAAGTAAAAAAGGTGGGGAAACAGCTCCATTTGGTAGAAAAGAGGCTCTACTAAAGCTATGATGGGGTAGCTTTCCTAAGAAACATCCCTACCAATTATCTTTTACAACAGTACACGCAGCGCTAGTCAATAACACTCAAGTAGTCCAACTGCAGCAGGTGACGACAGCGTTTAGTATTAGTACAAGCAGTGATTGTTGAACCTCCAGCTGTACAAGTAGCACACAAAGCGCGTATAAATTTACCAGGAATCAGTTCGATATTCTTAAATCGACGGTGTCAACTTTGTGAAAGGGGCAGGATTTAAAACGATAATTTGTAGTTAGATTTCTTGTTCTAAATTATCATGGATTTTGTAGGACAGCGGACGTATACTGTCGAAAAAGTTTACGCACATATTGCCAAATGTGAACGTGATTTTATGGATTCACGATCCATTCTTCGTGGAACCTGCAATGATGAAAGGCTAACATTACCGATCCATTAGAGCTACGATGACAACAGTTCCTCTAACGATAAAGTACACAAGGTAAAAGACCATTCCCATACTTGAGGTGGCTCATCATACTTATACTATCTGTTTGTATGACATTAGACTATCACACTTGAAAACATTGAGTAGCAGGCTCGATATGCATACCCACAGATACAAATCCGCATTTTTATATGCTGAGGTTAGCCTCCGGTATCGGATTTTTAACACGTCATGTATTTTTTTCCGCTCGGCGACCTTGGACTTACGCGATTTCATTAGAAAGAGAGATATTAAAACAATCTGCTCCCAGTTTTTGTAGCATGTGGCTTGACTTTTAGCCTAAAAAAGCTATAACATTCGATGAAAAAGTTAAAATTCCCCATAGACCAATGCTAAAATTTCAGATTTTGAATGTGTTTTTCGTTTGATTTTGGTTGAGTTACGTGGATTTCTCAGTGAGGAAATAAGTAAAAGCGCGACTTATAATTAACTTATACTTCATTAGGAGTCTTTGTTTTTGAGGGAAGTTGCACGTATATTCTAGTCTTGCAGACCTAGTCCTTTCGCTCTCGCATCTCTAGCTAATCTTCCCTTTACTTCGTTGATTCGTCTCCTTTACTATGCCTTCTTTTCTCTACCCTTTTGTGCCCAGGCTAGTTGAGGCACACGCACACATGGGTACATGCTACGGAACGTCAATGTTGGCAACATACCCTGAAATTTACACTGTACATTCAATGAGTGTTATTGTTCTCGTTATTTTTACTTTGTTTTTTTCATTGTTATTGTCGATCTATTTGGTTTTTATATTTCTTTAGTAAGCTAACAATCAAATTAAGCACACTGAACGTAAAGGAGAGTAAGTGTGCTAGGCCACGCCACGGTGATCACAGGGATCGTCCGCGGGCGCTACTTTTTCCCTCGAATCAGCAGTTGATGCACAATTCGAAGAGTTCGGGAATCACGGGGTGTAGTGAGCTTTGCTCATTCACGGACGGAGGCCTCAATTTGTTTGTTAGTTCGAATGTTGTGGTTAATAGTTGCTATGACAACTTTTACTTTATAAATAGATCCTCAAGCGATTCTTTTTTGTATTCTTTCTTAGAAAGTCAATGTGAAAACTTCTCATAAAATAAAAATAATTATAACCTTTCAAAGTCTCCTCTTATTTTATTAATTAGCGAGTTGATCTGAAACAGTTATTGTACCATACATTTCAATGTAGGTGCAAAGGCTAGACTTTCAAAAACGTGATGAGCCACCTTAATTATAACTGTATTTTTCTAACGAATTCTAACTAATTTAATTAACGAGACTTTTTTGTAGGAAGATTTTCATAAAACGGTAGACTGCGCAGGATTTGCTCTAAATGAAATTAAGGTGTTCGTAAGTATATTTTTCTTTTATTCGTCATGCATCTAATTTATATAATAGATATGAACAAAAATATTAATAATAAAAATTACATATTATCAAAAGCGAAGCAAACGCTCAATAAATTTTGTTTTAATTATAGGTGGAAGACGGATTAATTGAAGTTAAGGCCATTCACGACGAAGTGCAAGATGAGCACGGTAATGTCTATAAAAATTTGCCGGAGACGTTTCCCGTCTCTGAAACCTACAACTTTAATGGTGCTAAGATAACCTTAAGCTTGGATGGTGCATTAACTGTGTATATTCCTTGTAAGAATAAGCCATTCGTTGATACAAACTATACTACCAACAACCCATCCAACAATGAACCGACTGAAGAAAACTAACTTCAGTAAGGAGAATAATGTTTTAAAAGTGTTTTGCAATTGTATACTCTTAAAGTTTGGAATGAATAATAAAAGCTAATAAGAGCATTTTTAACTTTTTGTGCTGTTTAGACATAAATGCATTTTATGTCGTCTGTATACACAATTTTCATGCAATAAAAACACTTTTAATAGTAGTAAAATTTTATTGTGTGTATTAGTAAATCCTTTCGCAGTGCATACTGACTTATTTATTCCCGATTGAATTTTTTTTAAATTTTTTCCATAGTCAGATGATTGCACAAAATTGTTTATAACATGTTTCCAATGTGGGACACCAGAAGCAATTTTTAAAAAAAAGGCAATATATATCCGTAAGAAAATTCACTAATTATAATATTTTACACAAAAAAAAAAAAAAAATGCGACGACCATTATAAAGCAACAGATTCATACAATTCTTTCTGTTACACTATAATAGAATAAATATGCGTACATTATATTCTAAGGCAAAAACTGTCGAGTCAACGGAAGAGGTAGTCTAAACTTATTTATTGAAAGTGTACCATAAAATTCCAAGTAAGGTAACATGCTCAGACTATTTGATTAATTTCACACGATTCTAAGATGTATATCATGGTACAAGGATGTAACATGACAAGGAGTGGCCTTGTCTACCACTACCTCTGTGTAGTTATTACTATTCTTGTCATCATTATTGCTGTTATAACTTTTACAAAAAAAAACATTAGTACTCTTAATACATTAGGTTTCTGGAAAATTAGGGGTAAATGGTACAGTTGTTGACCTCCCGATAGTGGTTGACTGTCCCATGCATTTTTAGGTAGAGCCTTTATATATAGATATACAAATTATGTTGAGGTATTTTTAGATTTTTCGGTGGCTAGAGTTCAACCGTTAGGTGATAGTCACCTACTATACTGCATTGAGAAATTGGTTGCATATTTATAAGAAATAGGAGTTATATTTCGCGAATTCAAATTCTTTCATCGGCCAATGAATGTCGTGAGATTGTACGGAAATAAAAAAAAATGATTTTTTCAAAGAAAGTTGCAATCTTACTAATATATAAAGCAGAAGTGCTATAACCGTTGTTATTGCTAACCGCGATAACTACTGAACCCATTTCGTTAAAATTTTGCACTATGATTCATGATACTTCCTAGATGGTTTTAGCATAGTTTTCATCTCAAAAAATTTAATAACAATAGCAATACATGAGCTCAAAGTTTTGAAAAAATATGCCAGCTTTTCTCTTTAGTTCAGCAAAATCCGCTAGGTGGCGTCGACATAAAATCGAAGCTACCTGCAACGTAATTAAATAAGTGTGGTTATAATAGGCTGGAGCGTCTCCATAGTGTTGAAGTCGAGTTTCGGCAACTCAACATGCTGTATGGAGAATGCTTATGATAGTCTTGCAGCTGGGTAACCCGGTTACGGACGACACTCTTCTCTAAGGAGGAAGGGACCTAGGTGTCCATTTACCCTGAAACTCGATGAGTGCGATCAAAAAAAAAAAACTAATTCCAACCGATGCCATCTTTGCCACAATACCAGGAGACATTTGTAGCCAGAGCACAATCTGGTTCAACTCACCAGAGTTGTGAGGAAGTCCCACCATCCCACCAGGTGCAGTTAGACAATTTGTGGCTACAAATGTAAGCAAAGAAAAACAGCTCTGAGCTCTAAGGGGCATGGGTAGCCATAACGGCGACCTTCTTGGTCGTCGCGTTCCCAATGCGCTTACCCACATGTTCCCGTCTAACGATGAGCGGTTGGTTATCCGGAGAACGACCCGAGACGAGATATTCTTAGGTCAGCAGCGTACCTTCCTCCATCACAGTCTCCCTACATAAAGACTTCCGGGGTAAGAATCAAGCAACCGTAGCCGGCTTCCCATCATCAGGAATAAGAATAGCCTGGCAGTTTCACCACTGGCACTTTTTAGCGCCATTATAAGTATTTACGTTCCCTAATTAACCATCAATTTCATCGGTTCTTTTTAGGATCCACCTAAGTGTAAACTACCTTGCCAACAAATACATTTTTATTACCATTTCCGGAAGCGATTCGTCGACTAAAAGACTATATTAACTAAAGACGGGCACTATTAAACCAAGTCAGCCATTCACTAGCAGACGTCACCTGCGGAGTTGTTCTTCGCAAGGCTGGAAAACCCGGTGACCGACGACCCTATACTACCCTCTCGACTCTAAGCATTCAACCAGGAATCACTGATCCTCTCCAAGGTCTGCGTTGGGCAAACCTATAACAGCTATGAAGGAAAAAAAACTTGAGCCAACGGGACAGCCTCCACTGGACAAGTATCACTAACCAATCTCCCCATCTAAGATCACCAAAACAACTGAATCTGCAAATAAAAAAGGTGCTTTAGACACCAACGTCTTCGACGTTATACCGGGAGACGTTGGGAAAGAGCACTACAACTAGCCCCAAAGCTTCGGACTTTGTAATTTTTCTCCCAATCAGTCTGGGTCTTCAACAGCAAGCCAGAGAAGATCACCCTGAGGTATCCAGGCAGTCACAATTGCTGTTAACTGCAGTCAAGAAAGAGTTAACTTAAGAAGCTCACCGGTCTTTTTTAGGGCCATCGGACGTCGAACTACCTTGCCAACAAATATATTAGAACTTAACAAAGTTGACAGAAAACAGCCTTTAGGGGTCACAAAAATTTTAAGCATGCCAAAAGTCGCAAGAGGGTGAATTGGAAGAAAAACTTCAAGTGTATCTAATAAATACAATTTTACTTAGGCGTCAAGAAACTGACGCAGAAAATTTATCGAGATTGAAACAGCAGCGTCAAAATCGACAACTAAAGAGTCCATTACGTGAGAGATCAGCTTTTCATTGTACCCTCACAGCAATCTCTGAAATCTTTAAAGATCCTACTTCAGATTTTTTAATGAGTAGAAAATGTATTTGTGTTTTTGTGGCAATAAAAATGTAGGGTTTAAGGTCCAGGACTTTGTTGCTCTGGTAATAAAGTTGTGAGATATGAGAAAAAAAATTTTTTTTTAATATAAATTTTTTGGGGGTTTAAAATCTTAACAGCTTTAAAAAATAGCCGTTTTCGTGAATTACACGGGAGAAACTGTAAATCAACGGCTTCTTATAGCCACCGATTATTCTATGGCATAAAGAACGCATGGTACTTTTCAGCATGATAATTTTTTTGAATTCTTACAACTCATTATTTAACCAAATAAACTATATGGATTCCAAAAAAATATGTTTTTAATAAAAAGATTTTTGTTCTGTGATCTATCAGGAATATGTGCAAAATTTCTAACTAAAAGTGTTTTACATTACATGTCAACACACTACGGTGTTTTATTTAGTAAGTCTCAGGCGAAGCCGAGACGGGGGGCTGCTAGTAATTCATACAAACATTAAGAAATACTTGTACTTTTCTTGTAATTGCATGTTCTTAAGAAATTTTAAATAGTTAACTAAAGAACATTTCTNTCAGACATTTTTATTGTACAAGTAGATTGATTAAAAGTAATTTAAAATGTTAATTTAAATTTATATTCACAATTATCAATTTCTACTATTTAAGTCTACTAATCACACTGACACCAATATAAGATAAAAAATTTTTCTACCATTAAATACGATGAATAATGTATCTTGTATTTATACAATTTTTAGATAAACAAATAACAATTGTTTGTAATTAGACTTAATGAGTATACTTGATGTTAGTATTTATAGCAAATATGGTGATGATTTTAAATAATAATAAAATTCTTAACAAGTCTTTTTTAAATTTAATTTTGTTATCAACATGGCTTTAAGAACAGACACTTGAAGCTGAGTTTTTTCAGATGTCCACAATTTGTTCATTAAAGAAAAAACTCGTTCTACTGGTCCATTTGTTCCAGGCAGACACATAATATATTTTATTAAAATACTAAAGTTTCCATGACTCAGATGGTGAGTGCGAAAGTGTGTTAATATTTCCACCTAACGTCATTCAGTCGAAACATTTAAATCATTCCAATTGCTTACTTTTGGGGATGTTACGAAGTTAGATATTAATGTGAATTCATCGAATAATACTTGATCCTGATCACTATTAATGTGTTCCTTTTGAATCAAAATATCTATTNAGATTTATAGATAACATTGAAGCCAGAGCGAGAGCAAGTCAGTTAAATACATAGATAGCATGTACTCGGTTGTAGAGTCAAAAGACTCTCAAAAGAGAAAAACTCGTGCCGTCGCTTAATTTGGCTGTGTGCTCAGCTATATACAGCTATATAGCCGACATTTCCACTCCTCTCCTCGTAGGCGCACATTCGGTATACCCCTTCCACGCGTCTCCAAAATGTGCGCCTATATGGACATTTCCACGCGAATCCACTCTTTTCATACCCCTACCGTGCTTCTCAAATAAAAAAAAAAATGTGCGCCTGGTTCGGCCACTTGGCCGCGGCAGGGCGCTCGAACCACTGGAAAAAAGTCGGCACACTCCGTAGCATGGCAGTCAGCAATCTCCCTACTAATCCCTGGTTCTGAGCTGGGATCTTCAAAAAATTTTTTTAATATTTTCGGCCGCTTTTCGATGCTCAAAAAATAGTTTTTTAGTGGCTTATACATGTTTAAAATTCTTTCAAGGGCAGGCATAAGAGCAAACCATCTGGTCTTGCTATAACCTAGCATTTTTTGATATTCAGTATCTGTTTCACAGCAAAACTCCTTCAGTGCTTTTACTCGTTCTGTGTAAATATGAGAAAACGAATAAATTTTTTCAAAGATATATTCAAAGTTCATAGGTAAATTATCTGCAGCTGATTTTATGGCGTTGTGAATTAAATGGGCTCCGCACCCTATTCTTATTGATGGTTTTTCAAGCGATGATTTTAATTTTGCAAATACGTTATTGACTCCTCGCCTATAGATAGCTACTCCACCAAAATTACAGTTAGTGTTATCACCATACAAATGCCACGACTTTTGTAGATAATTTATTTTCT